CAAAATCGCTTTTACTTCTGCGCCAATACTGGCCCATTGGGAGCCGAATCGCCCACTTATCGTGGAGACCGACGCTTCCGATTACGCCATTGCGGCTATTCTTTCCATCCAATATGCTGACGGTGAAATTCATCCTCTAGCCTTCCTTTCCAGAACGCTTCATGCGGCGGAACTCAACTACGATACCCACGACAAAGAGCTACTGGCCATCTTCGAGGCCTTTAAAGCTTGGCGTCATTATCTGGAAGGTTCGGGTGATCCGGTGGACGTCGTCACCGATCACAAGAATCTTGAGTATTTCTCTACTACCAAGGTTCTTACACGCCGACAGGTCCGATGGTCAGAATTTTTACATCAATTTAATATGGTCATTCGCTTCCGACCGGGAAAACTCGGCGAGAAACCTGATTCGATAACTAGACGCTGGGACATCTACCCTAAAGAGGGGGATATCGGCTACGCCCAAGTGAACCCTCATAACTTCCGTCCTATATTTACTAACGAACAACTCACTGCGTCTCTTCGAGCTACCTTCTTGGAAGGCCCGGTTTTACGAGCCTCGATTATCATGGATATCGAAGCCCTGCACCAAGCCATCATCCTCGCCCTTCCCGCCGACCCGAGCTCCGTTGCTGGTCTGGAACTTGCTAAAGATCCTTCCAATGAACGTTGGAGCTTAGGTAGCGACAAGCTACTACGCCTTGATGACCGTATTTATGTTCCTAATCACGGCGATCTTCGCCTTCAAGTTCTCCGCTACTTCCATGATCATCCACTCTCCGGCCATTTCGGCCAGAACCGCACTCTAGAAGCTGTACGTCGTCAGTACACCTGGCCCAAGGTCAGAGACTTCGTACGTGACTACGTTACCTCTTGCACTATCTGTGGGCGCAACAAACCTCGCCGTCATCGGCCTTACGGGTTGTTGAAGCCTTTGCCGGTTCCGGTCCGACCATGGGATTCCATCTCCATGGACTTCATTGAACATCTGCCGTTGTCGAATGGCTATACAGCTATCCTCGTCGTTGTGGATCGATCTTCCAAACAAGCTATATTTATTCCAACTCACGACACCATTACTTCCGAACAACTAGCTGAGCTTTTTGTTATTCACGTCTTCTCTAAGCATGGTGTTCCTAATCATGTTACTTCCGATCGTGGTTCCGAATTTGTTTCGGCGTTCTTCCGGGCTCTCGGTAAAGCGCTCTCCATGGAACTTCACTATACCTCTGGATATCATCCGGAAGCCGATGGGCAGACCGAGCGCGTTAATCAGACTCTCGAGCAGTACATCAGGATCTATTGTTCCTACCAACAGGATGACTGGTCGCCGCTACTTCCGATCGCCGAATTCGCCTATAACAACGCTCCCAATGCTTCCACTGGTATTACTCCATTTTTTGCTAACAAAGGATACCACCCAAACATCACCGTTCGGCCCGAGGTCGACATGAAGTCTGATCTTGCTAGAGACTTCGTCGTTAACCTCGATGAACTCCACGCTTTCCTTCGAGAGGAAATCCTCTTAGCTCAGTCTCGTTATAAGGAACAAGCTGACAGGAAAAGAATCTCGCACCCGGAGTTCCCGATCGGCTCCGAAGTTTTTGTTCTTGCTAAGCATATTCGCTCTACTCGTCCTACTGAAAAATTCTCTGAAAAATATCTTGGTCCTTTCAAGGTCGTCAGTCGACCTGGTACTTTGTCTTATGAACTCAAGCTCCCGGATTACCTTCGCCGAATTCACCCGGTTTTCCATGTCTCACAGCTGGAGCCAGTTACGCCGAACCCGTTCCCGAATCGAACTCAATCTCCTCCACCTCCAATTGAAGTTGATGGTGAAGAGGAGTACAACGTTGCCGAAATCCTTGACTCCAAGCTGGACAGAAGGTACAAACGTTGTCCTCTACGTTATTACATTCGGTGGGCCGGTTACGAAGGTACCAATGATGAATTCTCCTGGGTTGCCGCTGATGAATTACATGCTGATGAACTGGTCCCCGCATTCCACGCTCGATACCCTTTGAAACCTGGACCTTGATCACACAAAATCATTTTATTCCTTTTCCCCGTTTTCCGCCGTGCTCCGCCGAAGATTACTTTGTGCGTTTAGAGGGTAAACACGATGATAGTAAATTGAGTGTTTATCCCTCTCTCTTAATTGTAAATTCTTCCTTCTATCTACTATTTCACTTATATTTCTTTTACACTTAAACTACTTATACTTCAAAACTAATTATTTCTTACGCCGCTTTTCGGCCCATTCGCTCTCCGATTTCAAAATTGCGTTGAACATTTTTTTGTTATATACAAAGTTCAAAAATATATACAGGAGAGACAGGACTACAAGAAGACAACAGGAAGACTACAAGAAATATAAGAAGATGGCCGAAGGGCCGATGTCTGATGTCCGTAGTTTCACTACTCTACGGCCCTTTCCTTTCCCTTCTCCGACTGCGCCTTCGCCGGCGCCGGTTCCTCCTCTACCATCTCCTCCTCATCTCCTTCCCCATCTTCCTCCAATCCCTGCTCCTCTATCTCCTTCTCTATTTCATGATCTTCCTCCTCGTCGCTGTCTATTACCCTCCTTCGCTTCCTCGGCAATCCCGACGGCCCGGCCTCCGGTACTTCAGGGGGTGTCCTCCTCCTCCTCGCGGCGTCCGTTATCAGCCAGTCCAGCTTGCGATTGAAGTGGCGATGGTAGGTATTTGCCTTTACCTGACCATCTCGAAGTTGTCGATTATCGGCGAGGAGCTGGGCCACTTGACTTTCAAGGACCGCCAGGCGCTCGCCGGTCGGATTGGACCCTCCCTCTCGCTTGACCGTGAAGGGCCGGTTGGAATACGAACACCGTACCTTGGCGTCGTGGCAGGGTTTGCAAATTATTGAGCTCCTCTTGCCAGCCTGCATCTGGCAAGGGATTTTCTTGTTCCTGCATCGTTCGCAGGGCGTCCGTTCATCTTCTTCGTCATCGTCGTCACCGCCGTCTCCGCCGTCATCGGGATCCTCATCCACGGGCTGGAACTCAGAACGTTAGTAAAGGCAGGAAGTACCAGGACATTGTTACTCACCTGGGCCTTGGACTTCCCTTTCCCTTTGTTCTTCTCCCTCCGGATCTCCACAACGGGCCTCCGAGGGGACCCCGAAGTCTCTTCTGGCGAAGATCCTCGCCGACTGCGGGCAGTAGCTGCTGCTGCCATTCTCCTCCTCCTTTCCTCCCTCGCCGCGGCTTGTTCTCGCGCCTCCTCCGCTACCTTCTTAGCTGCCTCCTCTTCGGCTTTTTGTTTCGCCGCTGCTGCCTTCCTCTCCTTCATCCGACGAACCTTCTCCTGTGCCTTCCTCAGGACCTCGGCTTCGTCCTCATCCAGGCCTTCTTCCTCAAGGGAGTCGGGATCGACAGGTTCGGTGGGATTGACCGGTAATACCAGTCGTCGGTGTTCCGAAGGACCGGCGGTAGAAGAGGAGGTGGTGTAAGTTTGAGTACGGCTAGTCGACATTGAGGACTTGGGTTTTTGGGAAAAGTTAGGGCCCTAGCGGCAAAACCTGGCCCTTTTTATAGGGACAAAATGGCGCACGGACCAGCGAAAAATTTTCCTTCGAATTGTACTTGGTCTACGGTGCACCGAAAATTTTCACTGATGACTAACGCCAATTCCCGGTACCAACGGCTTTTGAAAATTTTCTTGCTGACTGATAGGCCGAAATTTCCGATGCTGACGGCCTTTAAAATTTTTCCTTGTTGACCAATCAACTCCCGGTATTAATGGCTTTCGAGGGCTCAAGCCTAAGAGGGGGATACTGTCAAGTCCATGCAGCGGGCCTCCATTCCGCCGCTCGGGATTCCGAAGATCTGCTCCTTATTGTTATCTCACTCTTATTGTTCTTTCTCGCGACACATACCCTTTCGTTCTAGTCCCTTCTTATTGTCTTTTACTCTACCCTGCAGGTACTACTCGTATAGCTCCTAGTAGTTAGTCTGGCGCTCCGCACCGCTGCGCCGATCTGTAGATATAAATACTGCCTGTACGCTACTGTAGTTCCTCAGTTTAATTATCGACTTAGATTCCCTCTTTCACTCTGTGCTCCTCTAAGTCTTCAGGCTTACTGCCTTGAAGTTCTCTCTACTCTACCTTAGGACTTATACGTTCTCTGGTTCGCTCCTCGTCACCGGCGTTATCGCCGCTCCGACTTGGCTGCTACTCAGCTCCTCTCTTCTATACTCTCGACCTCCGGGGACATACGGCGTAACGGCGGTGTTGTCAATAACTTCACTACTGTCCCATTCGTATTCCACACTTAGACACTCTGTGACCTCTGGCACGGTTACATGGGTTGCATGATCTTAACACCGTGTTGCCGATCAGCGCCGTGTCTCGCATAGTGATCTATCCTGCTATCTACGTTTCTGCTCCACACTCCACACCGGTGTTATTTGACGCTGCAAATATGCCGAGCGATGAGAACCCAAATTATAAGTTTTGGCACCTTTTCCAACAACAAGCTGACTACAAACGTCACAGTCTACAGTGTACTTTCCATCCTGGAGATAAACATCATATGCAATGATGCGATCGCCAGTAATAAGTCTCGCTGTCGTCAGAGGGGAAGCATTCTTATTTTGAGAGATTGTTGGCATTGATAATACATATAGAGATGATCCAGTGAAATAATATCAGGCAAGTGTAGTTGAAGAAGATAATTTTCCGCTGCATTGCAACATGTATTGCCTCGTATACACGGAAGAGGGGATATCTTTCCAACAGCTCTACACACTAAAGCACAATCTGATAACTGTGAATCAAGCGCACGGCGCTGATCGGCAACACGGCAATACAGTGACTAAAGCTGTTGCCAAACAACCCCCAACGGGTATTGCGATCTCAGCGCTTTTATCCTGTGGTGCCCCCTGGAATATGCTCCAAAGCGCAAGCAGCCTGCCTTGCTAATTCTTTGGCCAAGTCTACACGTAAACGTCGTCTCTGGGGAAAATCCAAGATTGCTAGCACGCTGGGTCCAGCCAACGCGGAAACAAGGAATTGATGACGACCATTGGGCCCATCAACAAAAAAATGGTCTTCAACAATTCTAAAATAGTGAGACGGTCCGGTCCGCTGTAGCAACTTGGGGATAACTAGGTCGGGGTAATCGGTAGTTGATTCATCAGCCCGCAAGGCCTTGACAGCTACTAGTTTTCCAGAGCCTGTGTCTGAAAACTTTCCGTCGCGAGCTAGCCAGATAGTAGACGATCCGCCGAATCCAAGTTTATGTATAATCCTGTAACGCCCGGCAGAAAATTTATCGCCAATTTGCACGGGATGGAAACCCCCAGGTTGGTAATTATCGACATTCTCCACCTCGTCAAGTTGACTGGGAATGAACGGGGACTCGAACCCTAGTGCAGAAGGCATCAAACCAATTGCACCACGAAGTACTGAATCATTCATGACGAAACGACAAGGTTATTCGTCCGTATTGAATATTGGTCTCTTTGCGCCATTGACTTCCTGCAGTGAGCATAAGTAACCCAGAATCTGCCATGAGAAGATAGAAAAGGCAACCTCAGCTTATAATAAATCCGTTTGGGTTTTGCGCTGCGAAGAGATATACAGTGATCTTGGAGTCCTTGAGACACTTGGAGTCCTTGATACACTTACCGTATTTTTTTTTTCTTGGGACATATCCTTTCATCTTAAGTATCTCAAAACAATAAAGCATATATGATGTATGCTTGGCCAAAGTCCCTAAGTATTTCCAGTAATGGTTATAGAGATATGAATCAAATATATCGGATTTTAAGGCCCATCAGAGGTCGAAAACTTCTAACAAAGTAGCGAAAGATACAAACGGATGAATTACAATTTAAAACCATACTGCAGCATATACTTGAGCTTGTCCTCTATCACCTCCAATAATAATTTCCACTATACAGGTACAGATACAGTCAAAATGTGCAAAACAATTTTGCGTGACATGAAATAATAATGCATGTTGCGGTATGGAATGATTCAACTCTCTCACACCCATCGCACACCAAAACAAAGATTTCTGCGCGCGTGCGCACTTGTCAGAATGGTCGGGAAATCACAGTCCGATGATCTTACAGCCCAATTGAAACGCGAAGACCATACCAAAAGACTTAACGCAGCTCTTGCGCTCTATGAATCTCAGTCAGAACTGCCTGAAAATGAACACCTATCACTTCGAGCCATTGCAAAACAATTTTCAGTCGACAAAACGACCCTTCATCGTGCAACACTCAAAGTAAATCAGACTATTCAGGAGTTCAATTCAACCAAGCAGAAGCTGACTTCTGCTGAGGAAGAAGCCCTAGCTGACTGGGTGTTACGCTTGGCTGAGCGAGGTTTACCACCGACTCATTCACAAATTAAATTTTATGCAAATGCCATTCTTCAGAAGCACCATGGACCAGCTTATAGCAGAGTTGGCTCTACCTGGATCTACGAGTTTCTGCATCGACACCATGAGATCTCCATGCATTGGAGTAAACCACTGGACACACAGAGGGCACAGGGTTTGAATCCTGCGGCGGTTGACAACTGGTTTGAATTAGTGAAAGAGGAGATTGTAGATGCAGGAGTGAAACCCGAAAACGCATATGGAATGGACGAATCATCTACTCCTAGAGGCAATGTAGCAAAAGAACGTGTCGCCGGTGCACGAGGTACCAAAACTCAGCACCGACAGGGGGGTGCAAATTGGGAGAACATAACATCGGTAGTCACCATCTGCGCTGACGGTACAACACTCAGACCAACAGTAATTTATAAGGGTCAGAAATTGTACACGAGGTGGACCAAGGATAATGTTGCAAATGCAACGTACGTGAAGCCTTTTGCTTTTATTGATGCCTCAATTGATCTAGACGTTTTCGATAGGTTCACAGTATCAGAGAATGGATGGACAGACAGCGAGATTATGTGTGAATGGATACGAACCGAGTTTGATCCTGCGACGCGCGACAAGGCTGGTGGCAAGAAGTGTGTTCTCTTGATGGATGGCCATAGCTCACATTTCACTCCCGAGGTAATTGAATTTGCTTTGGCACGGAACATTGCTATTCTCGGATACCCACCACACTGCACCCATGCATTGCAAGGATTGGATGTTGTTTGCTTTGCAAAGATGAAGGCTGAGTTGAAGGCTTCAATATCGAGCTTTGAAGATGAAAACCAGTCCGAGGTTCAGAAGGATGACTTCCCACTCGTCTTCGGCTGGGCATTCAACATTGCATTTACGCCGGAATCTGTGAAGGCGGCCTTTCGTGCGACAGGTGTGTTCCCATTTCATCCAGGTGTGATCACACCGGAGCAGATGAAGCCTGCGGAAACAACGTCAATAAAAGGGTCATTCTCGCTCACACAAACAAGCCCGGTGAGAGCTGTGATGAAAAGCTTCCATACCTACGTGCCCACATCGTTCGCTACCTCACCTACACATGCACATGCTCCGCAATCAGTTGCTTCTTCGTCTCGAATGATTCCTCCCCTTAGTCCTTCACAACCGATGGCATCGACCTCGCGTGTAAGGCTAGCACCCACATCCCCTCCACTCCGAAGACAGTTAACACCTGAGCCTCAGGATACACCATCTAAGCGAATGCGCATCCTGTCGAGTTCGCTAGCATCCACGTCCTCCGGATCCTTCCTAGTTTCAAAAAACCCCTACACATCAAGTACACCTTTCCCTCGAATGCTCGAAAAAGCACCGCTGAATTTAACAGAACCAGACTGGAATTTGATACAACCAGGAGCGCCACCATACGACTCTCACTCACAGCTTGTGGAAGAGAACCGAAAGCTTTCCAATTCCCTAGAATATGCGAAGGATTACATTCTAGCATATGGAGAACGAGAAGAAACTTACGCAGCTCAGATGGTGTTACAGGATATGACCCTCTCGAAGATGAACCGTGCTCTCCATGCAAAAGAAAAGAAGAGGGCAGAAAAACCTGATAACGAGGTATTGCCCAATGAGGGAATGGGCCGACTATGGACAGATACAAGGATCCTTGAATTCCAACAGACGAAGAAGGCAAGTAAGGCAAAAGAGGATGCAGAGAGGGAGGAACGAAAAAGGAGAAAAGCTTTGAACAAGGTAGCAAAAGAGACAGCTGAGAATGAGTGGAAGAGTATCAAGAAAAAGCACGATGAGGCAGTCCAAAAATGGTCGGCAGTATGTGCAAGTCTGCGTATCAAAGGAGCGAAGGTGAAAGAGCTTCCGAAAAAGCCTACGCGCATGACAAAAAAAGACCTTATGGCCCATTGTAGCAGTAATGTCTCGGACGGGAGTGAGGATTCAGACGACGACGAAAGTGATCGAAGCAATTAGCGCGGCACCCGGGTAATGTTTAGCCGATGCTGTCACAGGTGTCTCAAGGACTCCAAAGCCGTGACATTCACCGTAAACATTATTTAATTCTATAGTAATGGTTATCCCTCCTTGAACTTTGAAAAAAGTAGATTCCAATACTTGTAACATACTATACTTTGTTTCTAGATACTCAGATTTGAAACATTGTTACATTAACGAAAGTCGCAAGCAAAACTTGATGTTTTGTCTCAAGGACTCCAAGATCACCGTATAGACGACTCGGACTACATAAGATTCGGGAGTTGCATCGACACTCACGTGACTGCTCAACGATTCTAGTGATGTCAAAAGACACATGTACGGTAAGTTTTCAATGATAGTCCTTTGACCATGCATCCGCCTTAAATGCAAACCGAAAGCCCACCTGAGTTGCAGTAAATATACATGTAAGGCCATTTGAGATAGGAGCAAGCACATTCGATCAGTCTCATCGTTCGGAATGTTGCTACTCTGCGTGAACGGTACATCTCGACGAATTCATATATGATTTATTGAACTATCTAATCTTGCCTATGAAGCTGCTACCGCCTTGGGCCGTTTTTTCTTTCCCGTTACTGTTCCTGGGGCCTTCTTCTTTTTAGACTGCACTTTGACAGGCTCCGGTGTCGGAGTAGCCGGTTGACCATCCTCGTCTGCCACCTCGTATTGTGGAAATGAGGATATTGAAGCAGTTAAACCGGAAGATAACCGTGCAGGTGCGGGACTTGCGGTTCGTGAGATGATAGATCCTGGGCGAGACCCCGGCGTCGGTGTAGAATGATGTGACGAAGGACTAGAGTTGGTTAGGGCAGCAGCTCCGGTTGGCATTTCGCCGACTCGGTCTATGTAGAACGGTTCAGGTGAATATTGGAAGGGCGTTGACCTCAAGCTTGGCAGTCGCGAGTCTACTGGTCCTACAATAACGTAGATGTTAGCAGAATCTACGTTGATGGTAAAGGGAAGATACACACCTAAGAAGGCTGGCATACCTTCCAGTTTGACTACGGGTATTGAATCGAGGTCCACGTCGTGAGGAGGTGAAACTGTTTTTGAGGGTTTCTTATCCATAATATAGTATGGGTCATCACGTTGGCGTTCTAAGCGTTCCGCTCGTCGCTACCAAACCATTAGGTTGCGAGATTCCATAAAAACAACATACGTACCCGTTCCCTCTCTGTGCGCTGCTCCTCGGTTTCTGTCTCGGACTCTAGAGGTATCAAGGTGACTAGTCCGTTTCCATTGTATCCATGTTGTTTACCATTCTCTTCCCGTTGTTTCTTTTTGCCCTTATTACCGGAACCAGAAACACCATCTTTCCCTTTCTCCTTCTTGATCTTCTTCTTAGCCTTCTTCTCGCCAGGTTCCGACAGGGAAAGGGGGTCCGCGGGAGGTGGTACAATCCATGCGTCGAGATCCAGGCCCTCAGGTATCGGCACACTTTCTTGGGCGTGCTGTGCTACCGGGTTCAGTTCATATGACGAGAAGAGAGGCTGTATGATAAAGAGGGATTTCGGGAAGCGGGGTTCTGAAATTACATCGGAGTTCGCATAAGATGAACTAGACTCATCGAAGGGATTTCCGGTCGATCGGGGTCGATAGGTATTGAGGTCCGCCAGTATGAAGTTGAATAATTGGAGAGTGTTCGCAGCCTGAGGATGTAAACGCAAATCAGCAGGAGGTTGAACTGGAGCAAAATTCGAAGACGAACCCGTTCCTGGACTTCAATGTGTGAACTGTTCACGAAAGGCCCAACACGTTCAATAACCATCTGAACGACAGCTTTGACCTCGTGCAGATCGTCGTCAATCCAGCGCTGTGCCACCTCCGCCGCATAGAAACCGAATATCTTCGTTGCAGCCTGAATGTACACTGCGATAATATCAGGGGATAAATTTGATATCCCCGGCTGTAAGATCAAAGGGAGCAGCTTTTGCGGGTCAGTCAGTTCACTGTACAACGTTAGATCATAGACCAGTACTGGAGTCGATGTACATACCTGCAATATTCCCCACATATGAATGCAGCTGCCCACAAGACCTCGGAGCAGCTCCCTTCATCTTGAGCGTTTCGCAACATCGCATCGTCGCTCAGAAGAGCGAACATAAGCTTAACCGCGTACCTCCGAGCAACCTTGACACGACCGACGACGTCGACCATCTGATCTCGAATTTGTACGCCCACGTCGACATTGGCTACGTGCGCCAGATCGACCAGGACAGATAGATACCACTCAAAGTTGGTAACGTTCTCGTACGTATTCTGAGAACACATTTGTAGTATTCGTTGTGAAAGAGTAAGCCGGTATGCTGGAGACGCTGAAGGCGAAGGAAGAGAAGGTTTCACAGTAGGTGGTATGGTATGCTGGGCCAGTGACTCTGCAGCGGAAGGTACATTTGAACTGGATGTGTCGGTAACGAGATGTGAAAGGACTTGTTGAACAATGTTTTGCAAATTCGTTTCGTCTACCTGTAGGAGAAGGTTCAATGGGCACTAAAAGGTAAGGATAACACATACCATTGCGGAAATCAAATCTAATGCACGCATTCGGATGCTGATATCTTGGTCATTGACGCTGGCTAGTATAGTATCCTGATATTGCGCGACAAGATGTGGATGGGTGGGCACGATTTTGACCATTGCAAGAAGGGCGATATATTTCACTGCCAAAGGAATTTCAGTTTAAACTTAATCGCTGGTGATGATTTCCGTTACCTACAGTTTTGGTCCGAGTCCTGAATAAACGCCGCTAGCTTTGACACACATGTTCGGGCAAGAGCATCTCCAGAAGATCCCTCAAGCATACCGCCAATGATACATGTATGGACGCACTCGTATAACAGGGAAATTGCCGGCGTGGTGCTGATCAGTTCAGTGATTGGCGGTTGTAGTTTTTTGACCAAGCGGGGTTCATACGGTGACAATGTACCAAACTAATTTTTGTAAGTATAGCTTCACAGAGAGACAAAGGTCGCAATTACCAGCTTAATGATTTTGATGAGCATCCAGTTATTCGAAGAAGTGGTCATGAGATGAAATAATGGCGGGGCGAGTGCAAGGTAATCTTTGGGATTGTGAAGGGTGAGTTCGCACAGAACGTTGACGGTAGCAGCAATGACGCCTAAGTTGCGAGCTCAGCCACAAACTACGAAGGGATACAAAGCACGCCCACATACCAGCATCCGGGTCCTCCAATTTATCCTTTAATCGAGATACAACCTGTGTCGATACTTCCGGGTATCTCTTGACGAGTTTATACAGAGCAAGGACGGCTCTTTTGCGGATTGCGGGGCGAGAATGGGTGAGCATCTTGATTAGTTCAGGAGACAGATCACGAGCCAGGTCTGGAGTAAGGATATGTGAGATTCCATTCAATGTGAGAGCAATATCTGCCGGAGAAGAAGTCAAATCCTTGGAGCCATAAATGAACAATATAGACTGGAATCGTTTGAATAAGCGCGAACCTTCTTCAGCAAATTAGTGGTTAACATTAAGACGTCTGTATCCTGGTCAAACGACTGTATTGCCCCGAGATATCCAACACTCTTGAGATGCAACTTAGGCGAAGACATAACCTCCACGACATGAAAGGAAGCCCAGCTCATGTCATAGCCCATCATATCAAGCTAGGCAGTAAGCAATCAATCATCGATTTCGCTTGTAGAAGCTAGACAACATACATAAGTTAGTTTAAGGACGGCCCCAGACTTAAGCACCATGTCATCACTTTTGATTTCCTGTCTAATTTCCTCTATAGCTTTTGCTATGAACTTGGATTCATCCGCCTTGTTGGCACGCAACCCGCGTATCAAGTCTTGTAATGTGCGCTCCCACATCTTGCATAGAGTTGAAGGCCTTTGGAGGTTTCAAAAGCCTCTTAGGAAGACCAAGAGGGTTAGGGAATGTGGTACAGATGGACAGTGAGAGTGTGCTCACTATTCAGGGATGAAGGCGGCACGGAGCCCTAATGTAGGGTCCCACAAGCGCCAAGGTTTTGGTGGGGACGATGTTTTATTCCTTTGATTGCATTACCGGAGCTCACCGCTCCAGTACTTCGACCACAGATGATTAGAGATCACTCTCATTGGATCCTACCTCTCGCTGGCCTCTCACTCTCGTTTATAATCCTTTTTCGGTGCATCTACGTTATATCCACGATCTGCTGAACCAAAACCTCAGTAGACCTCAGTTTCGGGCTTTCCATATGTGTCGAGTCCGTAGAAAGGCTACCCTTGATTTCTAATCATACCCATTGTTGAACTACATACACCGGACTTGAGAGTGCGCGATATATCATTATCGGAGGGTTGGTCTTCTGTAACCTCCGACAATTTAACTATCTGTACCGAGGTAGTATCGCTACCGCGGCTCCCGTCCGAAGAATCCTTTCCCATTCAGTGAGTTCCAGTATATCTGATTTACTTTTTTGCTAGTTCTTCGCTGAAGTTAACGACAGCAGATGTTCAAATGTCATATTTTCACATTACTATCGACTATGTATCTTCAACTTGGCTTGATGATGGTGAATTTTAACCTGAAACTTGGATCCCCAGAATGCATAGTTGGATCATGAATGATTGTCTACCCGAGACAATGAATAGAAGTGCTCCGGAGGGATTCAAGCTTTTCCAATCCCAACTCCGTCGCGGTTGTCTTTCCCACTCATGTACTGAAGCTCAAATCCTGTTCGTTCACACGAGGATAGTTGACGATGATGTGCATGATACCGTAGCAACACGACTCCGTAGAGGGTATGTGATTCATCCGTCCATCTCCGAATCCCGAATTTTCTGAATGGTTTTTGACTACATCTCGCAGAGCCCTGTCACTGAGTGATACGGATGTTGATTGCAGATTGGTGCCACCTCTTGCCGCCTTTATCATGGCCTCCGTTACTGAATGTACCCTCTAGTGCGGTGTGATCTGGTTTGATCAAACAAAATTTGCCCGTTCTTGGCCTCATAAGAGGAACAGACACCCACATCTTGCTGTTTCCGAACGTTCCTTCCTACCAACACCCGCGAATAAACCTTTCTCCCGGCTGTTCCAAGTTCCGTCTTGGAATATGACGACTACGCTCTCGTTCTCTGATAGTAGTATCCTCTCTACTCCCGAGCTCAGCTCCCCCAGTTCCGCGTCGTCGTCAAATGACAGCTCTTCATTTTATTCAGCTGTTTCTTCCGGTGACTGGAATAGCATAGAATCGGAAGCTTCACTTGTAGCTTCGACTCCCATTTCATCTGACAACAATTCCGAGTCCGGTTACACCTCCCCTTACCCTCTGAGCTTTCCTTCCAAAGCCAATTCTACCTCCGCGTCTGTGATCCGATCTTCTGTGAAGAACATCGCGTCGTCAAATGGGATCATTTTTGGCTCCTCATTTGGAGAACAACGAAGAGCAGATCGGCGAAGGCCTACCCCGTTACCTCTGGTGGACCCATTAGATGAAATCCTTGCTTTACCTCTGGTCGGTTTCTCTGCCGTATCAACCTCCTTGACAGATGTTTCGGTTATTGAGAGAGGAAGGTCTATAACTACGAGGGGTGCCAGGAACCTTCTCGGACGAAGGGAATCGAGCCATGTATCAGACGTACGGACGGAGCGGATGAGACTCCAACGAGTGAGCTCCCTTCCAAGTATCCCTTCGGCTACATTGGATCCTTTTTGGGAACTATCTCCAGAGGCTCTGAACAGCAAATCGGAGAAGGCAGTTCAATTTGACGCTGCGGATGCACTGCAAGAGGTGTGTACATGTTTTCTTTTGTACATCAATATTTCCTGAACTTTCCTCGAGGCTGTACCGAGGTTTTATCCAACGCGTCCTAGTCATTTGACCGAAGACTGTAATACGAACGCAATGGCTTCCTTGGCTTGGACGGGAACACTTCCCTCAGCTCTCCCGTCATCCTTCCCCATTGCCAACACTGAACATGCATCTAGCGCGCACCCTATGAGCTGGACACTGACCAGCGCTTGTCGATCTACCTGGAGCTTGTCCGACTCGCCTGAGCCTGGAAGTGCTCTCTTCAGCTCAATCCCTAACCTCGATGACGTCTTTTCCCCAATTCCTCGCTCAAATACACCGGTCGTTTCAGAGGCGTTTAGACTTTTGGATTCAGACAGGCGTCGCCAAAGAAGACGCTGGACTCTGGCAATGGTAATCACGGACGACCGGATATCGGATGAGAAGCTTGTGGAAAAGTTAGATAGAATGATGGTAAGTAATATAGGTGGACATGTTAGTAGTGGTTGGCAAGAAAACACTGGACTTCGATCGCCTCTTTCCCCTACCTTGTTTTCTGCTGCTATCCCGTCGTCTAACATCTGCGCGTCTCCCAGAGAAGAACTGGAAGCAGAATCTGAAGTGAACGTGGATGAAGGAGACTGCAAAAACGTTGAAAAAAGAAATGATATCGTTAATGGTGTTCTTTTCCCCACTTCAAATAATCACTTTTCTCAATCTACCATCTGGAAGACCGCTCGGCGAACATTGTTGATATGCCGAGAACTCGTACGAACAGAACGATCTTACCTTTCCTACCTTCAAGTGATGCTATCGCAAGAGACCATGACACCTCCTCCTGCAATCCTTTTAGCTTACCTTCCTGCTCTTGTCCAAGCCAGCGAAAAGCTCTTGTCGCAGATGGAGATGAATCCTAGCGCAGCTGGGGTTGCAGAAGCGTTTTTGGCCTGCGAAGACCAGCTGGAGTTGGCTTTCCTAGGGTGGTGTGGTATAATTGGCGGATTTTTTGCCGGGGCGTATGATAGCCCGAGTATCAAGCGCGCAAGGACTAGCAGTGCGAGTTTCGGGAGGAAGGACACTAGGAAGGGAGGTTATTCTGACAGTAGTGTGAAACGACGGGTGGGCTCTTGGGGAAAGCGCCTCGGTTCCTTTAGATCACGGAGCTGGAGTATGAGCGGGAGGAGCGCTACCGAGCATGCTGAGTATAAGGTTGAAGTCAGCTTCGAAGAGAAGAAAGAGCTGAGAATGGAAAGATATGTTCACTCAGTTCGGGATCTGGCAATTCTTCCTACGCAACGTGTAATGAGGTACACGCTGCTATTCAGAGGTGATATTGACTTCTTACTCTTTTTCTTCTTCATGGCTGACATCTCCTTGTCAAGACCTGGGATCGCACATGCCGTCCCCTTCTGCGTCTCATGAAAAGGTTCAGATGGCCCTTGAGGCTACTATTTCGCTTGCTCAGAAGTGCAACAACGCACAAGGAAATTCAGTGTTCCTTCACGAGCCTCGTTGAAGTCGCACTGACATATTCGACGTGTACCTATTTATGCTTCATTCATGTATGCTCGCACTTGGTCTATCAATTTCATATGTCCCTTTTTCAAGTATTCACTGTGATACTCAACCACGCGATGCAATGGTCGCCGTACCAATGCTTTCTCAGGTCAAAAAAAAATTCTCTGTATGTCAGGTTTTCCCAATTTTAGCCTAAGTACAGGCTCTTCCGACATTTATTATGTTTACTGATACTGTCTAAGTTAACTAGAACACCCGATATTATCCACATATGCCTCGGTGTTAGTAAGAGTGTAATTGTTCAAAATATACTGAGGGAGAGGGGGGAAGAAATCCAATGAAAGGAGATGACTATTAGTATTTAGCACGTCAGGTAGGTAGTACATGCCTTGGAGCTCCGAATACAAAACACGGACCCGCATCCTATCCTGTAACTTTCTGAGCCGTTCAAGCAGACCCACATCAGTAGGTTGAGCATCCGGCGGCATCATGACATCGCACACTTTGAGCTTTCGAATTTGATTGTTTGAGATGCACCTACTTTCCATAAATTCAAGAAGCGCTAGAGTTGATACACCATTCAATCCAGACATATCGGGAGCTTCATAAGATTGGTGAATAACATATCGTAATGTTTCCAGGTGGGGGCACAACACAGGACACAGATGTGCACTAGTGCTAGTATCGGTGAGTTTCCTGAGAAGAGAGTCCTGAAATTGGTAGTAATAATGATTTCGCCCAGGCAATGCAGAAGGCCGAAGGAGATGGACACAATCAATTATTTCAAGCACAGCAAGATTCTGGGCAAGCTCAAGACATTTGATCAGAGCTTCAGATGTCATTGGGAACTCCAATCTCAAGGTATGGATTGAACATAACAAGTGAGTGAATGCCAAGTAATAGTCAACCATGTCGAGTTTTAGCGAGGTCTTCTGCCAAGTGACAGAAAGTACCTTCAGTGATGGACAATTGAGAGCATGGAATGAATCTTTGATGATTCGGAATGAAATTTCTGCATTCCAAGGTTGATCAGTATTATCAAAACGAATCCATAAAGAATGAAGGGAAGGGAGGTTAACAGGCGTCATTTGTTGTGCTGAATCACTGATGGAAATACGACATGTCTTCAATTTCGTTGTTTGACCGAGAATACCCAGTATTTGGTCAAGAGGCAGGCCAGTATGAGGATGTGTAGATTCCAAGACGAGTTCAGTTATGTTGGCCCATTCACGACTTGAACGAGTGTGTGTTTGCCGGGTGAATCCATTCATACTGAGTCTCTGAAGCATGGGCAGTTCAAGATATGGAGGGCCCACGAGAGGGATTGCTGTAAGGGTATCCCTAGAGTTCGAGTTCGGAACACTGATGGAAAGGCTTTCCAACATCGGAAAAGTTAAGGGAAAATGACGGTCTAGCATGGGGAAAAAACGTGCATCGAGATCGAACACAGCTTCTCTGAACCTAGAGCTAAACTTCATCAACGTCTGCAATATTGAGGCTTCGTTCATCAAGATTGGCCTGATTTTCTTAATGCATAACGATACATAAAGCGGAAGGACACCCGATCGAGCTATCCAACCACCGATGCCTTTTTCCCAGCATCTCAATGTCGGTTCTGATACAATAAGGATGTGGAAGGAATTCCACAGTGAAGGAATTTTAATCGCGATATCTCTCCATTCTCGGCAAACCATAGTCAAGAGAAGAGGCGCCTCCTTCAGTGTGCGCCACGGATATCTATCTGTAGGGAGACAGTGCACAAAGATCTCTGCGAGCGTCTCTGCGGGCAACCTACGAAGCGGAGCCATGAGCGCACGATGAGCGTACACGAAGGTCTTCACTTGGACACGCTGAGCGCGAAGTTCATCCAGAAGAGCCTCGGTACGAAAGATCTCGCTGTCTAGATGGGACAGTTCCTGCTCGGGTTCCGCTAGGAAAGCCTGTAATCCCAATCGTTCCGAAGGAGATGCAGCATAGTTGGTATCGAGAAAGGGGGCGTACGGGGACCGTAAGGGATCCCAGGAAGGATTGACTGCCATTTTCGATGATAAAACAAGTGTCGGGCTCTTCTTCAAGTCCCTAATATAAGAGGATACCTAATGAATAAATACATGTCAGTGTATACTAATAGTATCAGAGGTTTGGCTGGAGCTGGGTGGGAAACTCACGCGAAGATTATCAAGTCTGGAACGAACAAGCAAATTCAACGGCAGCCTGAACACTAAAAAGGGCAGATATCTCCAGTGGTGAGCCGGACAGATGGAAGTCAATGAGAAAGCGGCAATTCGAATTGGCACGGCTCTGCTTGAAGCCATGTGCCGTACCTTCGTGTATACGGATTGGGATACATATGATAATACCGTATTATGAGTGGGGAACAGTCAAAGCCGACAATATTTACGAAGGACAGAAATAAGTAACCAGTAAAGTACGTAGATGTTATATATATGATAAAACGATAGTAGATGATACAACAAGGGAACAGAAAGTCCGGATCCCAGCCCAACAATCAAGGGGATATAAAGAATGAATAAAGAAATGGTTCAGTAACCTGAAAAAGGAAAGAAGAAAAAATTCACCCGACAAGACGCAGAGGTAGAATAAGAAAGGAAAGCAAACGAGTGATATCAAAGTCTGGCACCTATATACCAAAGTATCCTACACTACCTTCCGCACTAAACGAAGCGTATCCGTTTTGCATCGCGCCATGTCCCATACTAGGCACACTAGGCACACGTTGGCGCTGCTGTTGATGCGAAAAGTATCCATTCCCATTCGTGGCGGTCAAATAGCCATCAGGGACACCCTCGTCGAACGGCGTACCTGGTAACGACGTCGAAGATTGGGACTGAGACGAAGGTGATCGAAGTTGCTGTCGCTGTGCTTGTTGTTGCCGATGCTGCTGTTCCATACCCATATTATGAAGCTGAGAAATATCACCCCCGTTACTAGGTACAAGCGGGAAATAACTTCCTGGACTCGTCGCAGATGCCGGTCCAGACAAAGGCGACGGACGAAATGGACTTCGTGGATTAGGGGATCGCCCACCGCCGTGACGCATTCCTTGCATGGCTCCATTAGAAGATGGATATGCATTCAGGTCGTTCAGGCGTGGGTGCGAAGTCCTTGAAGATAGTCTGGTGGGCGTAGGTCGACGTCCAGGACCCGAGAGGGTGTCGGTGTTCAAGGAGTTTAGTGACGACAGTGGGAGGTACGGAGCGCTAGCGCTTGCTGATCCGAGAGACATTTGTGATGTGAGATAGGGAAAGTTTCCTCCGGTGCTACTGAACGACTCGTATTCTGGTTCGCGGAAGTCTTGAACCGGAGACTGCGAAGGGGAAGACGATGATATAGAAGGTGAAGTTGACGGGACAATTGGCGGTGGCGGGCCGGCGTAAGACGTGGAATGTTGATGGTGGGGATAAGACGTAGAGTAAGAGGCCATTGGAATAGGTGTGGGAGTAGTGGATGAGTAATCGGATGACGACGATGAATAAAATCCATATTGTGAATCATGCGGATAATTGAGGTATGGATGAGGGTGAGGTTGAGGTCGAAAGCGATGACTATGGGTGTCTCCGTTGTCAAAATGACGGTTCTCTAAGCAAAATTTTAGTTGCTATAGTTTCGGAGACATGGTAAGGATTTACCATTCTGGTCATTGACATTGTCCAAGTAACCTACTGAACGAAGAACGGTCAGTCGACATAGAAACGGAGTGGAGGTCTCGAATCAATCACCATCTTCTTTTTCTTTCTTCCTGACGGAGGATGGATCGGAAAAGTCGTTCCGACCCGGTTTAGACTGCGATAAACCTGGATACATCACTAAGATACGCCCATTAGCGAAACAAAGTGGTAGATACGAATCAAAGTCACCATCGGGATTTCCAGAGCCTTCGTAGCCCGTGGACGTGACTGGACGTGCCTTTGACGCTCGACGACCGCCACGACCAGGGACAGGCGTTCCATTTCCCTGAGCTTGAAAAGCATGTTTGTTCGCCGCGACCATGTTTGCATGGACTTTGCCGAGTTCACGCATCATCTGCTCGTTCATAGCCTGGTCATCGGTGTGTACAGTTTGAGCATGTTGGCGGAGATTGTCGAGACTGTTGATATGAGATTTGTGGGGATATGTGGAGATCCGTTGATGAAAAAAGATGATTGGTAGAGTAGATCAGGACGCCGTAATGAAAGAAAATGAAAATTTGAATGAAGAAACATGGAAGAGATCGTCGATAGAATTAAAGTTACAACTGATAACTTACCGACTGAAAGTCTTTCCACAATGACAAGGAAACGGTCTCTCGCCCGTATGTTTCCTTATATGCCTGGCTAAATGCTCTGAGCGAGAAAAGACCATCCGACAATCTCCATAACCTCTACATTCAAATGTTTTTGAAGGGGGAGGACGGACACGTTTTGCAGGAACAGTGCAAGTTGAGTCGGTAGATTCAGCATTTATGTCAATATCCGACGTCGTGGATATGGTGTCCTCAGGGAACTTGGTGGCGGTGACAAGATTATTAGCGTCCATTCAAGTTTTTTTTTTCTTGTTTCTTCAGGACCCAGGTACAAGGATGCTCTAAGGTAAGGGCGGGGAGACAGTAGACAGGGCGCTGGAGGCGTTTAGTGAGCGTTTTGGGGGCTGAGGAGGCAGGAGGGATTGAGGAACGAGCAGGAACCAGGAACGTTGTGATTGTAAACAGTCCCCAGACTCCAGGCTCTCAACCTTATATGGACTCACCCAAAGATCGTGGAAAGTAAAAGGTCAGATAGGGTCTGATGGAATTGACAGGGAATATTGTCCGTTTTTGGAAATCTCGGTCGATCATCAGCCCATCACCGGTCCGGCTATTCCCGTGAGCCCAGCCTTTTCCTTTTATGGATGGATTATGACATTTCTCCGACGTTGTCGTAGACCTTCCCGACGCACACCAACATAAAGCCAATGAGGAGGAGGACAACAGAAGAGAGGTGGTGAGTTGATAAGATCATCTAGTACTGGTGATAAAGGCACTTGTAACTCAATTCAAAACTATTTATTCAGTTATTTCACAACACACCGTTGGTGAAGTGGTTATCATGCTTGCCTTCCATTCCTTGTGGCAGCAAGCGGCTCGGGTTCGATTCCCGAACGGTGTATTTGCGATGGAGGCTTTGGAACAATTATTTTATCTTTTCTTTCCAAATAACAAGTATCTCGAGCAAGTCCTATACACTGTGTACAGAACCGCAAATTCCTCAAGAATTCAATTGCACTTTTTAGCTTCGACCAAGGTATTTCCTTCTCTCCGAACACTGCATCTAACCTCAGGCTGTGTACATTTGCTCAACACATCCCGCCATACGAAGTCTAGACTCTAGACTTATTCTCCTACATCTACGCCGTTGATGGTCGTGGCTGCGCATGTCAGTTTAGATTTTTTTAACACTCAGCGAAGATCCTCTCGAGTCTCGACTGTTGATGGGATTTTCACCATACACTGACCTGGGGTTCTCTGGCGATCCGAAATTACTCCGATGACCGACATCCATTAGTATGGGTGAAGTTTGATTAATTCAGGACCTTCACTGAGTTTTCCTTGAATCCTCCGGATCTGTCACCGTTCTGAATACCTGTCATTTTCCTGATTATCTCTTCGTAATTCCTCCAAATTCACTATGTAAATCCTTCTAGCACACTTCTAAAACTCATCTTTTCCCTCTTGCTGACTCCCTGCGTTCTCTTCGGTGACCTTGATTGACAGCCTAAGAAACGACATCTACCTCCAGCATCCTACACCATCCCATATCTCACACCTACGTATGATTGCCCCCTCCTCCGTCACTCTGCGTTACACTGGCAAGGCTCCTGAACCTAATAGGGCTGCTCAATTCTTGCCTCACCTCACCGCCTCACCTCACGAGCTGTCACGGAATTCCGCTTTTGGATGTCTGATTGATCCGGGCTGATTTACCTCGCCTTGTTTTCTCGTTTTCATCCTCTCATTTTCGTTCGACAAGACTGTCCGGTTCATCTTCGTTCATTGATGGTATGTAGCTGGTACACCTACCTTACAACAACACTATCAGTAAATTCTCCATCGAAATTTTGTGCTTCTTCATCTTCAAAGCCATTATCATGTTGAAAGGAATCATCATTGGAGTTATCAGAATCCTCCATGAGCTTCCATGAGGTGAGAGGCAACAGTAGGCAACAGTAAAGGCTTGCGCGACATTGAACAACTCATTCAGCACCTCTGCACAAGTAATCTGAGAGACTGAGGCATAATGAATATAAAGTCTTGCTGCAACTACTGTATATTACACATATGGTGCCGATCAATCGGACATCCAAAAGCGGAATTTCGTGACAGCTCGTGAGGTGAGGTGAGGTGAGGTGAGGCAAGAATTGAGCAGCCCTAATATACTCTACCATGACTCCTGCTATATGCTCCACCATCCCATAGCCTATGTAGCAGTAGACGTAGACAGTAGGTTCAAGGCACATCTTACACAGCGGGATCTCCACAGCCCTACTCCCATAATGACAGAGAAGACGCAGAGTACCGGTATAGTATGTCATACAAAGCTCCCTCGAAAGGCTCGCTCAGGTTGAGATTGTTTCTCGCGAGCTATGTATACATAACGGAGGAAGAGAGAAGCTTGACTCGTTGATCAGAGACTCGAGATATTTTTTTTTCATCAGGCAGTGGGTGTCGTTATACATCCAAATCGCAAATGATCATCAGAGAACCGGATTCACGACTTGGAACTTGGAAGCAAGATGGTAGAAAAGACTTGTCTTCACAAAGGCTCCAAACTTCAAGGAAACATCAAAATGTATGGAATTCTTACCCTGATTTTTTTCGTTACATATTTCCCTTCGGGGCTCAGTGCGCCGGGTGCTTGTCTGTGCTTGTGTGTACAAGATGTTGCACTGCTTGAATCTTGAGAATTGAACAGCAAAAGGAATACGACACTGGTATATGTTCGTCGAGTACGAACTTTATCGACGTCATTTTGCATCGGGGAGTGTGTGCAAAACATGAACTGGATCTTGTTGGGAGTGTGGAAGCCGCACTCTCCTTTTTACTTTCCGTCAAAGTGGGGGCAAGGTGGAGAGTACAGTATCATCCACTGAGAATTTGAGATGCGCAACCGTATGTTGGTGGGAGCGGGGGTGTCACCCGGGGTATCAAGTGTCCTCCGTGTAGACCACCGGCGGTATGTTCGCCTTTGGGATCCTGAAGTATGGTTTGATCTTTCAATTCTGCTCAGCGGGACCGTTGTGACTTTCAGTATGTATACAAAAGCGAAGCAAGAAAAGAAAGTCGGAGTTTCAAGATCAGCCATAAGACCAGCCATCCAATGACGCCCCAATTCCAACCGTGTCAAATCCGATTGGTCATTGAGTACCCACAGGTAGGTAGAAACGTATCAAGCTTTGACCCGAGTGACGATGGAAAAGAATTGATGACCCGGTATTTCCTACATGCCCTCCTACACTCATAAATCATCAATGAGCCCCCAGCGGAACAATGATTTTCGATCGATCCTTCCAACCAAACCTCTGCCTACCTCTGCAGCAGAGGAATGACTGCGGTCATGCGAGATATCCCTTCAAGTCTAGATCATATACCGTCACTCTACCGAAGAAGTCCGAGCTTGTTTCGAACGTAAGTCTGAGAGCGGTGATTCCAAGCTTATTGACATCGTGTTCCATCTCAGATGTTGGATTTCCAGTATACGTGTTGCCAAGATCCGTAAAATGCGATGGCATGGATGCAGTCGCAGGTAGTGTTGATAGACCCGATGGTGATATTGGCGCAGAAGGTGGTGCGATAAACGCAGCATCAGATAACGAAGGCAACGTGAAAGTCTGCTTCCGATTCGCGTCCTCGGGGTAAATGTACGTGAGGAGCCTCCAATTTGCTTTTCCCGGTAAATCGGAATGGGTGCGATCGACAGACCGGGCATGAATCGCACAGGTACGACCGACAAAGCCACCTTGAAAGGTTATTGAGAGTAATTTCGGGATGACGCCGCGTGGTGAGGAGGAAGGTAAGATGAGGGTGATTGTTTGTGGAAGACCCTACAAGAAAAGAGTACATCTAGTGGGTTAAACAACCCTCTTTATGCGAGAACGTACCTGTTGACTTGTCCAGCACGTCTCTGGACTACCATCAACAAGATTCTTCTTCCCGACGGATTTGTCCAATGTCGAGCTAACTCTTTGAGTTTAAAAAAATTGCGTAGTGTAGAAAGAATCGCGAATAAAGAAAGAAGAGAAGAGAAGAGGACGGTCGATGAGCTCCTCGGATTACTTTTGTATGAATCAGAAGAGAGATACACACCTACTTTATCACTGTATCAGGCGATATTAGAGACATCATCTCTGGATTATGTCGATCTTCGTTCATTTTTTGTGCGGTAGATGGAGAGAAGAGAGGGAAGAATGTGATAAGATAACAGATAACGAATAATATTGGTCTTTGATTTTTCCAACTTTCCCTCCCGAGCCCTCCCGTCATTCTCGTTCTCATTCTGCATCGCAACTGATGAATTTTCACTCAAAGCTTCCGACAAATCGCAGTCGATTATAAAAATCCTTGTTGGCGCTTGGAATTAGTAGGAAGAACTCAATTTCGTGCTGCACGGCCTTTTTCGTTCTTGCGTCTCCCTAAAGATAGCACCGGAAAGAGCTAAGTATGAAGGAAGCGTAAATCTTGTCCCTCCCAAGTCCTATCATCGGACGGTTTTGGACGTGTGCATTCCGTCGGTGCTTCGATACACTTATAACGAGCTTTTTCACACTTTTTTATCTTTTATCTCTGCTCCCATTCCCTTCTCTGCCGGCCAGAGATAGGTTTCAAGACTTAAGACCTCGCCCGACTTATAACCTGCTCCTTTCCAACGATTATCATGCTCGTCCTTCACTACGGTGTTGCAGTCATGGCAGGGTACATGATTGCCACAGTGCATGCTTTACCTGCTTCTCTCTCTTCGCGCTCGTTGCGTTTTACCTCTCAGGTGATTGCTTTAGTGCAGTTGCCAGTGAAGGATGCTGATCATACTGATAGGCCAAGAATACAGGGGAGCCGAAGTGGTTGATTCAGACACCTTACCCTGAACTCGAAGCCAAAGACCGAAAGGCTTTCTGTTCGTCAAAAGTCGTGAAATTTTATTGTCTACGCCTAACTTTTCAAACCAAGCTTCTAAATTGATATTAGGAAGCTCCAGTGCCAGTCATGTTGACCAACACGCCATTTCTATTCCCAAGTTGATCCCTATCTCTAACCCCAGCCTTCTCGCCATACAACACATCACCCAGTACAACGGTCATTCAGGGGCCATGATAGTCAACTTCCTCCTCCAAAAGACCCCCACTGACTCTGATTACGCCAAAGTCAAAGTGCTCAAAGAGATCGACGAGTACGTGGATTCTGGTAAGGTTCAAGGCCGGGGTGGGAATCTTGCGTTCATCATGAACAGTAATAGTACCGGTGATATAAGTAGTGTGCCCTTGGAGAAGGTGAACCTGAGTGACGCACAAAAGAAACAAGTGAAGGGGCAGATTGGGAAGTTGGTTTGTGGAAAGGTCGTGGAGGTGGCCGGGAAACACCAGATTCTGTAAATGTTCCGTGACCTTCTTGATCGTTCTGTAGATTGCGCATCCGTGTCTTATCTTTCTTTACTTCCCAGGGGTTTCGAAGCCACAGATATCCTCGTCGCCCTCTCTGACCCTTCAGCCCACTCGATAAGTCGCTCGATCTTGAGCTCTTCCAACGACTCTACCTCATCACCCATGGTTGAATCCGTCGATCTTTTGGGTTGGGATAAGGTCAAGAAAATCACCAAGGATTCTTCGAAGGATGAAGTGGTAAGTTTTCTGACTTTGAATAGTCCGTTTGACGAAAAGTCTGATATGGCAATGACCGTTTAATAGTCTACTTACTGTGAGATCCTTTTTGAGAAGAAATATGTACTAGTATGACATCTAGTATCCTGTACCGCTCCCACTTCCATGAGTCTTCCATGGCCTCTAGACTATCATTTATTATGCAACCCATTCCTCCCTATTCCTCCAACTTTACGAGCGTCAATCATCCTAAGACTCGTTCTGTCGTTCTTCATCCGGAACAACATAAAATGGTTCCTGATCCTTCTGGAGCCTGACCTATGTGAGTTCCCGAGAAATATTTATCTCTTCTGCAGATAATTACATCCCCAAACTCATATTTGGATTTGAGGGATTGTAGTACATGATCGGAGCAAGAAAATCGAGAATCCACATTGCGGCATTGTTACCGAGTGGGAAACACATACTACATAGTAGGAGAACCGTAAAACAGCGGCGGAAAAACATCTCAACACGGGTTTCCAGCTTCATGAGGGTTTCCGCAGATTTTCTAACATCACTGCGAGGATCTTTCAAGCCAAGCATATGATCTCTTCAAGACCCGGTGCTCTGCCTTCTTCAACACGTTCCAACTCTTGTGGCATTGGTTCATCAGAGGTTCATATATGGCTTATACGATTCGAAACGAAAAATCAAAGCGAGAAACAACAAGTACGATTGGCTTTATTTACCAGCATAGTCACATATTGTAACGCGCAAAGCAAGCCCAAATCCATTACTATACTACTATCAGAGAATCAGCGTCGAGTGGAGACATTCACACCTCTGGACCTGGATCCCGTCACAATGATTACCCTCCAAGCTGGGGAGATCCTCGGCTGGGTCAAATGTATCCGAGGGTACTTAGAAGTTTAGCAAGAAAATCGCAGAATTCAATCAACGCCCACAGCACGATTGACCTACAACAAATTTAATGGGCTCGGCACCGGGACCGGGAGAAGAGATATACGAGGTGGCCGCGACTGGCAGGCAGCTTCGATCACTTGAATCGACCTCAGACTGATTCGGATACTTGAAGTGGTGGAGGTTGAGCTAGGAGAGCATTCATGAAATACGATTGAAACTGTTATGCAAATGGGGTGAATGATCGCGTTCGGTATCAACGATTTCAGGATATCTTTTTTTAGAAAACACAAACATAACCCCCGACTCTCAGTGCTGTTGACCAGGTGGACCCCAACCGCCACTAAATCTAGCACTGTCTCCGCAGCCCTAGACTAGGACTTAGACCGCATCACTAGATCGGATAGCATTAAATATGACGAGTTACTCGAAAAAGAAAACGGGCAACATTGTAACGATGGTCAATGGACTTGTGCAATAACGCAGTAACTGTAGATCACAAGGGACATATTGTCCGATGGATATCGTGCTATACCTCGTCGCAATCTCGCAGATATCTTGTAAAATCACGATCGCTTGTTTCTTTCCTCCGTCTTTTTTCTGTGTCTGAAGATTGCACTGATCAGATTGTTGCGACACCATATTCTTTGAGTCTTACCAATGATTTTAGTCAATCTCAAACTAGGTCAGTTTCTTTTTCAATCCCACCCACTGTACATGCGCAAGGGGTGGACGATCCAGAGGGACCTGGCCCCCTGTTATGAAGCTACTCGCACGCCGAACATCCTCTGTCTGACCTGTGGTTACTTACCTCAACCTGCCGATCCAATGCAGACTATACCAATATAAGCAATCGCAAATTATGTATGTACGTGATACACAACGTACCGACGAACATTCCATTTGTTGGGTAAAGAGCTGCAAAGAGACGTGAAGACTCCGAAAGAGACGTAAATGGAGAAAATTCAACGAGATTTTATCATCACAGTGCTCCGCGGCTTGGGGGGACTAAGGATAAGATCGATAAGATTCGGAGGTGTTAAGGCGTTTGACTGGTTGATAAAAGAGTGGGATGGTTATGGTAAAAGGCACTGTGGTGTTTGGGTTAAGTCAGAAAGTCAATGAGGGGGGTCTACGGCGTACCATAGCGTACCATAGCTAGAACCAGATTGTGGCGTTAGTTTGAACCTGTGAAGTTCGCTAAAAACAAAATCTGCTGCCAGCCGCGAACAATTTGGAAAGACTGTCAAACTTTCGAGTCAGCATGACACACTCGCCGTAATTCGGTGATAATTTTCTTTTGTGCGAGCTAACTCTAACGAACGAGTTGGAGCTTTTCACGGGGACTGTAGTGCTGGCAGAGTTAGTCTGGGACGAACTGAAGAGCTGAGTGACAACGCACCAATCCTCAAAAAATAATACTGACCTCGCCCGAAGTCTTGAAATCATTGATCAAGGCAATCCGTATGGCTTGGGAATGCGGGCTAATTTTAATGAGACTATATAGCAGCGGTAACAATGTATATCTATATACACTTGCAACTTTATTGATCTTGAGTGTAATTCTTTGAGTTTTTTTTCTTCAACCTTTTTGCCTTTGTCGTAAATTGGACTGGTGTCGTTAAACGATTGTTTGTGGAAGAAACGTACACAGTGGGGGAACGCGGGGGAACGAAGCCAAGCAGCAATGATTTGGATCTGAATACATAGCCTTCCGTAAATGGTTAAAGCGTTCCTAAGTACTTATCATACCCTATTACGTGAGCCACTTCATTTCAATGTGAGGTTCACGCGTGAATCTAGGATTGCTTGAACTTCACCATGTTCGAGTGCTGACAGACGCCCACATTACCGAGTATAAAGAGTCGCGACTACTTCTCAGGGTGACCTCGACCTTTTCCCCTTTATCAAGGTGCCCGACTCTCTCTGCAACCACCAGCAAAGATGTCGAACCAGGCCAGTTCCCTCAGCGAGAAGAAGTCGGTTTCCGACGCTGATGAGACTTTATTCCCCCAAGTCGAATTTGACGAAGTCCGTGAAACGGATTACTCTGAGGAGCAATACAGAAAGCTGCTGAAGAAGATTGTAAGTAAGGATCTTTATACTGGCCAGATTATCCTGACAACCTCGTAATAGGATTGGGTTCTTCTCCCTTTGATGTGGGTTGCGTACGGAGTCCAGCAAGCAGATAAAACTGGTATTTCTACGCAGGCTTTGTTTAATTTTCGGCAGGACAACCATCTTGTCGGCCAGCAATATTCTTGGTGCGTTCCATTCGCTGCTTTCCTTTACTGTTACTTATACTTTCCTTGTAATAGGCTCTCAACGTTAGTTAATTCTTGATTCTCTTTTCCCCAATGTAAACTTACGATCTATGACAGTATCTTTTACCTCTCATACCTGTAAGTTGGTCCGCGCCACATCTTCGTCCACCGGTTCATCCGCTGACCTCATGTTTCATAGGGTCTTCGAGTTCCCAATGAGTTATCTAATGCAGCGAGTGTCTGTTGGAAAGACATTGTCCGTTCTCATGTTCTTTTGGGGTGTCATCGTGCTATGTACTGCGTTCGGTGAGTCATTCAAAGTACCACTCGAATAGGCTTGAAACTTAAACGTTCTTTCTAGCCCACAACTGGGCCGGTCTCATGGTCCTACGTACTCTACAGGGTCTATTCGAATGCACCATCTCACCATCTTTCCTTCTAATTATCGGAACCTGGTATAAGACGAGCGAGCATGCTAGGTTTGTATGTCCTCTCTGACCGTCCGCATCTATCTTATGAAAAATGTCTGCAGCCGGTCCATTATATGGGGAACTGCAAACTCTGGATTCGGCGTCATCGTGTCCCTTTGCATGTATGCCATCGGTGATAGTGCCAAAAAACACGGTTCTGGTTTAGCCGCTTGGAAGGGGTGAGAGTCGTCTTCCTGATGTTAATCTCTCACCATAATTGGCTTATCGGAATCCATTCAATCATCAGAATTTCCTTCTTTCTTGGTGGGACTACTATCCTGCTTTCGTTCTTTTGCTGGTTCCTTCTAGGAACACCTCGTGAAGTCGCATGGATATCTCAAGAAGAACGTCGTATCGCTCAAGCCCGGATCGTTGCCAACAAAACTGGAACAGATCACCACAGTCGGAGAGAGTGGAAAAGGGATCAAATTCTGGAAGCCTTCCTAGACCCCTCCACATGGTTTCTGTTTTGCAGTGTCGTCCTCGCCGGTTTGCCGAACGGAGGTATCACTTCTGTAGGTGGAGATATACATGCGATGGAATACATTCTGACGGTGCTTCTGTACGCAGTTTGGAAGTCTGGTCTACACGAGCTTCGGATTCACTTCTTTGGAAACAATACTCTATGATATTCCTCGCCAGGCTATGTCCATCATTTGGTTCCTTATTGTGGGATACCTTTGCCGCTTCCCTAATATGCGATTTTTGCTTATGGTACGCAATCCTTCCTTTCTGATTAATCCAACTCAGTATTTCGGGATAGTTATTCTCCATCATTCCTGGCTTCATTGGTCTTCTGGCACTAGCTTTGCTCCCCAGTTCGACCGATTTTAGATGGATCAAGTTTGGAATGTACTTTATGGTGAGTACTTCATTCATTTCCCTTAAAGCGGGAATTATCCTCCTTTCTTCATCGTTCACGTTTGACTGGACTAACTCGGTATTCATATTCCCAGACAATGACAACTAACATTAATGGCTTGCTTCTATGGATGCATGTCCCCTCGAACGTCGGCGGTCGTACCAAGAAGTCGGCGGTCTCCAGTATAATGTTCATCGCCTACTGCGTTGGCAACGCAGGTGGATCACAGTTTTTCCGAGCTGTAGACGCACCGAGATATATCCCTGCGCTTATTGCATGTTCAATATGCTTGGGATTAGAATGTATGCTGGCTTTTCAGTCTTCATGTGATGAGACGAATTCATTAACTACCTATCACACTTTTTCATTTCTAGTTGTCTTCGTTCTAACATGGAGGTTTTACCTCGCTTATCAGAATCATGTTCGGGACAAGGCAGCTGAAGCTCAGGGCCTCACACCGGAACAGGTGAAGGAACTAGGAGCACAGAATGGTGAAAAAGACATAACGGACCGGGAAAATCCTCACTTCCGTAAGTTGAAATTTTCGTTGAAGCGATGAACCAAATTAACTTTTTGCTTCAATTCACTTTGACTTAATTTTAGGTTATTCCTATTGAACGTTCGTCTTTGTCAAAGCTTTGCGTGCATATGCACATATATATTCAGTCTAAATCTTATGATAATGATAATGATATTACATGACTAACCGTAAAACTGAATCTTCATTGCTTGCTCTGGGAACTTACCTGCACTCAACACTCGTGTAATATCTCTTATCCATTTAGGTTGTACTAGTCGCGTGAAACGTAGAAGCCCAATTACTACGGCGTATGCACATTCAAAGTATCCGGACCAAGGAACTCGATGTGGTCGGATGAGTTACTTTGCATTTTTAATGTTCGTTTTCGCTGATATTCATACATATAATAACGATGTGTATCAAGCCCGAGGCCTCAAGCTCAAGAATAAGCCTTCTTCAAGCGATCTGTAATGTGAGCCAGTTTAGGTTTTAGCTTGAAACTAATTTACGGTACGTGTTGCGGATGTTTGTGGCTGTAGAAATGGATCTCGATCCTAATTCTCTATTCAAAATAACTAGTGAAAGTATACTCAAGGTGCGACAGGAATGAGGTAGCTCGGATATCCATTTACTTATTGAATGGTTGAAACACTACCTGTTTGACCATGAGGTCTCCACAAATTTGGAGGCTGGTGTCTGTCTATCTTCCAGCAATTGGCCCACAAATCATCCACCTGATCCAATTGCATGTACAGAGTTTGTTGTGTACTAATCGCAGATATCTATCGGGTATCCGTCATGGTGACAACTGAAAGGAGGATATTATGCAAAGCTGTGGAAGAACAACTTGAAGATAAGATACAAAAATAACTCTTCTATTCAGAGATTAGCTCTCCAATTATATTGGAATCAGCTTGCCAGTCAATAGTGCCCATATCCAAAAACTCTGTGGCTCCAGGTGCAAGTGAGAGACTTTTTAGATTCATCATCATCCGGCCAGCCTTATGAAGAGTTAGCGAGAGTTAGGGGTATTTTTCAATGCAAAGGCTCACAGAAATACAAGCAACAATAGTTGAGGGTCTTTGTCATTTGAAATTAGCACATTCCAAACATAAAACTTGAGTGGTTCACAAACACTAGTAGTAATGCACCTAGGAAACCCTGGCCAAATCTGAAAATGAACAAATTGGCCAAAAGTAATGCTGTTTGGGGCCGTCAATATTTGAAGCAAGGCAAATTTTTTTGACAATAACATTGACATACAGAACATCAAGAGAAAGTAAATAAGCGAGTCCCGAGCCAAAAGTTGGAATCTGTTCAGTGGAGATCATGAATTCGGTGGGTGTCCACTGTCAATATGAAGTTTCACTGGCCCGCAGGAACACTCACGTTGGTATTCTTTCAACTTGCACAAGGACCTTGTAAGCTACCATTAAGCAAAGAGTGCCTAATAACATTGGTTTAGATCCAATGGTCAGAGACTGTCTAAGTCACTCACTTTCAACAATAACAGGTGGTATCCTACTTAAGTATTAAAAATTGGAATTGATATGGAGAGGTGTTTTCAATTTCACCCACCAAGTTGGCCATACTATACCATGAGCATTGAATATACAGCCTGTAAATATATTGGTCCCGGAAGTGCCTGGTACTTTTTCACAAACTGTTTCCAAACAATTGATATATAGCATTTTACCTGTGGTTCTGGCTGCTACCACGATTGATGCAGGGAACCAGGATAACATTGATACTGCAATTTCATATAGCACATAAGTATCAGACCTGGTACACCACTGAAACCATACCGGTAAATAAACCAATAAGGCAAAGTCCAATACTCTTTGAACATGATTTTTGAAGAGAATTTACTGTCAGTGCTTCTCTATTAGTAAGACATTAATGTGAGTTTTCCCGTACCCGTTGTTCATGATCTACATTTGGTGATCAGGTTAAAGAGATGGAAAAATATGAGTGGACTTTTACAAATTGCCAAAGTTCTGATGATAAGAATCATTTCCACAGTCCCGAGGGAGACTAGAGTAGGCCTGTTATTTTGTGTGTCATTAGGTGTCCAATTCAAACAAACCAAAAAAATACCAAGGTGAAAACTTGGCCACAAATTGACACCTATTGGCAAACATTCATTTCCTTGTTCTGTGAATGATCAATAAAATGGATCCAAACATGTCAGATGGGGTATTGTAGAAGTCCATATCTAGTCTATGTCAGATATGAATTCAAAGAAATTCTGGAAAACCTACGTACATATTCCATCAAAGCTATTGTATCTCATTTACTCAGAAAGCATTTACACTAATGGCAGTCCTTCGACTTACAACAACATAGGTGGAACAATATAACGATTGATGACGAACAGAAATTTTGGCAACTTCCATGGTAAACTGGCGGAAATCTCAGGTAACCAATCTTTTGGCATTTCTAGAAGTTGGATCTCACGTCCACACAGAATTCATCTGTACATATTGATACTCATTTGTGATCTCTGAGTCTTGGAAACTCACCTCTAAATTGATGGTCAATGTATAATCATAAATTAAAATTGTCTAGGAGAAAAGGTGTTTGAGTCGATGCCCCCAGAATGACTTTAAGCCTTACCAAGAAAGCAGCTAATATCAGTGAGGTTATCAGAATAAAGCATGGGTGGTAAACAATGTGTCCCACCATTTGTATATTTCACCGCAGGGTAATCATTGAAAATTTGTAGAATGTCTTCAGAAATTGACTCCAACGCGGTACCAGAAGGGTTGGATGCCATTGTTGCGTTTTTGCTAGGCAGGATGAAATCCTCGCTCAATATATATCATTCTAGTGCCCCAGAACATCCTGTGTGGCTCTGTGTGGTTTTTGATCTTCATCAAACAGCAACCACTGTGAATAGATGAATAGTTATAGGTCACGTCAAAATAATGGTGGTCAGCCAGGAGCCTGATACAACAATCTAATATCTATCCAATATGACATATCAGTTCAACTCGATGTGATGACATGTATTTATTTTGCGACTTCAACGGGGTTCTGGGATAAATGATTATAAATCTGATTTTTTTGCTCGCTGGGTAGTGGTGAAACAAGTAAGTAGCCTGAATGAGATGATCTAAAGATACAATGCGGGAAACTTTTGGTAACTAAACTCATCGTAGACTTGAATGCTTCTATTTTTCCTGAATTTCAAGTAGAAAAATGAACTTTGATCGGCGACATTCAGGTGATGATATCGGGTTCTCAGGCTTACAGACGCACTCCTTCCACACTCATCAAGAAAGGTGCTGATTCACGTCTCGCCACTTTTCAAACCACCACCAGATGACTCCCAAGCTTGTTCTAGTGACTGGAGCTACTGGACGGCAAGGTAGTTCATTGATACATGCTTTGAGACCAGCGGATTCGGAAGCGCACTCTGGGGAACACGAATTTCACGTCCTGGCCTTGACGCGTAACGCAAAATCACCCTCAGCAAAATCATTGGCACTGCAACCACATGTTACAGTTGTCGAAGGCAATCTGGACTCAATCGTCTCCATATATAGGATATTCGAAGAAGCTAAATCTAACGGCGGCATCTGGGGTGTATGTTGTATTCTTGCTTTTCCCGGGCTAGGAGCCAATGCCGATGGAGAAGAAGCACAGGGAAGGGTGTGTAGAATTACCACTGTTTCTCTGAATTTTGACTTGAGCTGAAACGAGCTTGTCAAAAGGCTTTAGCAAATATCTCTCTCGAGTACGATGTTTCAAACTTTATCTTATCCTCAGTTGAGAGAGGCGGGGAACGGGATGATGACAGATCTGTCCTAGACCGACTGGCTAAGGTAAGGATAGAGCGCCATGTCAAGGAGCTTGGGAAGAAAGGTCTTTCATGGACGTATGCGATCTCAACTTTTTGTGTTTTTATTCTGAATACTGATAGCTTTTGCTTAGCATTCTGCGGCCTGGTTTCTTCATGGAGAATTATGAGGGGACCATTGGATCCATCACAGTTGGAGTTTTGAAGGCTGGTCTGCAGCCTACAACAACCATACAGCTTATTGTAAGCAATCCTTTCACTTGATTGAACCAAGACTGAATTTATTACAAGGCTGTGGATGATATTGGACGTGTCGCTGCCGGAGTACTAAAAGTAAGTATTGTAAATTTGGCAGTGAGCTTTGTTGGACAATGATGAAGTAATAACAACACAGAGCCCGGAACTGTTTCAAGAGCAGATCCTATGCGTTGTTGGAGACCATTGCACTATGAAAGAGCAAGAAGAAGCCTATGAACGTGCAACAGGCCGTTCTCTACCCAACATACCAGCTTTCCTCGCACGCACACTCATCTCAATCAATGGACACACTAAAGGCCTGTAAGTACCAATGATGTTCATAAATACTCACAACACTGAACTATGTCATAAAAAACTAGCATTGCAGATATTGAACGTGTTCATAAGATAAAAGAAGAGGGAGCAGCACCAGATCATGACTCTCAGGTTGCTGCCGCTAAACGGGCATATCCCAATATCCAAAATTTTGAAACTTGGGCAAAAGAAAGGGCTTCAACTCCTTCTCGAGATAGGCAGTGGAACAAGGTAACCATTGGAAAATTATTTACAGGACAACAATAGTAGTCATCCTAGAACCAGATGCGACTAGTATAGTTTATGTTTATGACAGTTGGTTGATAAGATGCCAGATAACTGAAAATCAAACAGAAAAGGGAGAATTTGTAGTTAATTTTAGCATTCAGAGACAGGAAAAGGGTGTGGCAATCCAGAGACTTAGCATGATAAGACGAGCAGAAAAGAGGGAAGAGATCAGAAGGGTATCAGGGAGAGCAAAGACAGGATGTTTGTATTGTTGTTGTTATTTACCAATGTTCAAGATCGCAGCAAGCCTACAAGCTTTAAGTTTGTTGATTAAGATCGTGTCACCGACTCTTCGAATGCAGAGGAATGCAGTATGCACTTGAAAGAGGATACGTATTGATTCATTAATTTAGTACTGTCCGACAGTGTCCGACACAGCTGTTACCTACCTTCTCCCGTAAACTAAGTTATTCTTGTCAGTGGGTGATATCGTTATAGTTTGAAACATAAGTAGATCTTTTTTGAGAGATAAGCAGATACAACAAATGGCTCGCCTTTCGAAATTCACTTAGGTGATTTTTAGTCACCGGAACCTTCCCAAGAGCAAGTTTGCTCGTCAAAATCTTTCTTCCCTGAAATGGGTCGTATGGAAATTTCGATAACAATTGCAGAGTCTGGGTTCAGTGATGATGTATTTGTTCCAAGGCCTTAGGTTAAGTTTCTACCCTCGACATCCCTCGACGAAGTTGGCTCTGTAAATGCACGTGGAGAAGTGATTACTAATACTTCACTCCAATTAGGAAATGCACTCACCTGTAAAGTTCCACTCTCACAATTCATTCACTGCCTGCGCACTGCGCAACGTTTCCCTGAAATGCCAACATGCCCTTCAGATAATCAGCAAGCTGTGGATCAAACTGACTTTTGGACGGATGGAGGAATTGACTGGGATGCTCATCGTATAGGCTGGGCTATTGCTGGTGCTTGCGCTGCCGCTGTACGTCCGTTTATCCTTGTCTCATTGGTATCTTATCATGGAAATCTTCCCATAGACTGTCATAATATCTATCTGCTCAGTTCTTCAACATTGTCGGTAAGCAACATCGCAGTCAGTGAGCCAACCCCTTCATAATTGAACACTTTATGTACAGGAGCTACACCAATCCGGCAGAACAACGCCAAATGTCAGTGCAAGTTTTCATTCCACAGCCCATGCTCAGCAATCCTTCAGTCTCCGAATTCTCTACATGCCTCCTGTTTATGGCGTAATATCATTTCTATCCTACCGATTCTTTCGAAGCTACACATATTATGAACTGGTCGAAGTTGGTCCGTGAAACATTCTGTGGTTTGCCATGTCTTCACTAATTGCTTCAACTTAGTATACGAGGTCGGTGATTTCACCCACATTTACGCTGTAGAACTCATGAATCATCAAGGCTTTCACCCTGAGTGCCTTTTTGTACGCCTCTTTGGATCGTACATCCTCTCTCCTGACTAACCTTAATCGTTAGAATGCTACTTATTGAATTTGTTGCTGCTTCTGGTACTGGCCATAAAGCCGAAAGTTCTATCGCTCGAAAAGACAAGCGCAAGTTGCCCTTCCCTGTTCGTTTATGACCACTATACCGCCAGGCAAATATGCTCATTGCCATCTGATAGTTCTGTTTTTGGCGGTATCGGCCGACAAAGGTATACTCGTCACTGCTGTTCTTACTCTTTTCCTAACGCAAGTAATATCCACAGCCATACTTCATGTATACTCTAAAGGTTTGGAAGCATAAAATGTTGGCACAGAATGTGGGATGATAATTCCATCCTCTTAGTGGGCCGTCCTGCAGTATGTCATTTTCAGACCAGGTGCGTTCACCCTCTTAAGCCTCAGACCACACGCTCATGTTTTTGAACTCCTCAGCCATCTCCGTCGCCGCAATTATTTGTCAAGCGTACAACGTCTTGTGCGAATCTGCAGGCTTTAATGCTCGTTATGCCAACGTTTACCTGGAAGCTATTGATTTCGTTAGCATCAGGTACGTCGTCAGTGGTTTATAGTCATTGCCCTCAGTCTTATATTATTTCTTACTGTAGTGTCGCCTTATACGGCCTGTTCCTATTCTATGGCCTCACTAAAGAGGAACTCATTGGGCGAAGACCACTTGCAAAATTCTTGGCTATCAAATTGATTGTTATGTTCACTTGGTATCAATCCTTTGTGGTAAGTGGACGTATCGCCTTCCAAGATATCCTGATTGTTTACGACGTTGATGCTGATGTTGGTAGTTTGATGCTCTGGAGGGACGCGTTATACACGGTAAGTGCGGAATCATTTCCAGGTGATTATGATTAATCGTCTGTATCAGCAACGCAATACTGGACAGAGACGAACATCGCGGACGGCCTGAATGCTTTGGCGATTTGCATTGAGGCTAGTACTACTCTTGGCTTGTATGAGAAAGAAGTTTGATCTCAATATATGCAGATGATCTTCTTCGCCTGTTTTATGTGGTGGGCGTACACTCCCGCCGCGTATCGCATCTCAGGAGCAAAGCCAACTAGCATCTGGCGACCCTTGTGGGACTCGTGAGTCAACTGTCGCCGTCGATGCTACAATGTCGCTGACTGGCTCCTATTAAAATCTATTCAGGATAAATTTCAGTCAGTGCTTATTCAGCCTAGGTGGACGCTACCCAACCCCAACTAACATCTGCTCCCCGTTTCTTTTTTCAGCTGATTTTGTCCTCGAAATATGGTATTCTTTCAGGTTCTTCATCGCCTACATTCGTGGCGTCCCCGAGACCCACAGTCGTTTCGCTTCTCAAGTTACTGGTTTCGATGAAGCCTTCGGCCTCGAGAAGACGGGTCGTGCGGCATACGTTGCCCACACCAGTAGCGAATCAGTCATTAGGGGACATAGTGGTCGTACCAGTGAGTACGATTCAAGTCGTGCCCCCCGGATGAGCTACGATGAGGACATTAGATTAGCGCCCTATAGCTACGGCGACGCAAGAGACAGTCCGATGATTCATTCTGAATACGATCACGATGGATAAGTATTGAGTCCTGGCACAGATTAACGAGAAGGGAATACCTTGGTTAAACGTTTTCATGGACTTGGATCAGTATTCATTTAATCCGTTGTTTTTTTTCTCCCATAACTATTCCTCCTACATACATAGCATCATCCCTCAATCGTTTTGTATCCATGATTCTCTTCCATTAAATCTTTTGTCGTTTTCACATCTTTTGTAGCAAATGATTGTTAACGTGCAATACAAATACTGGCCATTGCCAATGTGTATTCGATATAAGCAACGTCTAATGTGGTCGAAAAAGAAGAGTGTCACCGATGCCTTTTTTCGTTTAATGCCCTTTCTGCTAACAGCACCCATACAATGTCAAAATACATATTAGAACAATTGCAATAGTACATACTGCGTTATGCACCTACACATCAATATTCCAAGTATTTCAATCTCAATCCCTCATTATCTCTAGCCGCCTCTTAACCACATCCAGACTTCCCCGCTCACCGTTTCAACTCCCCCCTCTCCACATACGCTCCCACCATCATCTCATACACCAGCACGGCTTGCTCGGGTCTTTGCACCATCCCTGCTCTTTGTTCCCTCAGCGAGTCGATCTCTTGCGAGACAAGGTCAGCTGAAAGCGAGGTGGGGAGAGGACCAAGCGGACCGACGACGGGAGTGTGGCTGTTGTATGATGTTGTTGAGGCATCTAATGGAGGCGTCGTCGTCGAGGTAGGCGCTGTAGAAGATGAAGATGAAGTTGGAAATGAAGTTGTTTGGGATAATTGGGTAGAAGGAGGAGGGTGAGGAGAAGGGAGAGGAGAAGAAGAAGAGGGATGCTGGAGATCGCCAGGTGGAGGTAAGAATCCTGCGTGCCGGAGAAGACTGTTCATTGCAATGAACGAGCCTGTCCGACCAATGCCCGCAGAGCATCCGACAATGATAGGTGGGTCAAGATCCACATCCTTTTCTTCGGCCGAGCCACCGGTCTGATCATGAGATACCGCCTTGGATTCCTTCGAGGTAATCTTCATCTTGTCCTTCGCATCTTTGGAGGAAGTCTCACCAGGACGAATATGTGTCGTCTGACTCGAGCCGGAGCCGGAGTCGTCGAAAGGCATTTGTCGATTGACCCGATCCACAAGCCTGACGAATTCGAACAATGCTGCGCGGTCTGAAGGCGAGGGCACAGAGTGGTCTGGCCAGGCGACGAAGAGGAGATGGGTGAATCGGATAGCAGGATAAGTTTTCGATCGTGTGGATTTGGGTTTACGATGGACGGAGGACGTCGTCGATGAATCGTAAGAATCACCGTAGTGGTCTGAGTCTGAGTCGCTATCAGCAATAGAAGATGAAGGGATTGGAGGAACAGAAGAGGAAGAAGATCGAGGACGAAGAGGGAGGTCATCACTGTCTTTGTCACTATCCTCGTCGTCGACAACAGCGTCAAGGAAAGGCCTAACCTCGACTGTGCTCTTTACACAACAAGCTTCCCGGATTTCTTCCTGCGCGACAAGAGTCACTTTGAGCTTTGAACTTGCCAGTTGTGAGGCAGAAGTTGAAGTGGGAGATGACGAAGGATAATCGGTTATATCTGGTACGATGATCATGGTTTGTCCGACAACGTCAGGGAAGTATGGATGCGCTTTCCGTCGTCCGCTTTCCACGTTTTGAGTCAGTTGGACGACGGTTCGGGGACGGGAATGATGAGACTCATTGATGCGCGATTTCAGTGCGAGTACAGATGGATTAGAGGAGGTAGAAGCAACTGAAGGACTGAGAGAAGGAGGAAACATATCTTCGAGCAAGAGGCTCAAGAACGTATACGCTGTATTCCTTAACGGCGCTTGGGACGCTATCCACCATTTCCTCCCATATTTCTCCTGAACCCAATTTGCATTGAGATAAAGCCCTTCCGATTTGTCGTCACCACTCAAATGATCATGAACACTTCCTGGGTTGCCAAAATGAGGAACCTTGATCTTGACACGCGTCCGGTCATACGGCAACACATCCATGTACCGATTCCTCTGCCGATTGACTGGCAATGTACCAGAAGCGATGGAGTAGAAGTTTATCGACTCCGAAGAGTCGAAAGCGGAATCGGAAGAATGTAGGTGACTCGATATAGCTTCAGATGCGGCCTTAGATTTAGCTTTTATCTTTCCTGCTCCTCCAGGTTGAACAGCATCCACAGAAAGGTGTTGATTCGCATTCTTCGACCTAACCGACTCGATAGACTCGGCTCTGAAGTGTACACGAGCGTCCTCGCGTTCATCGAGCGTAGTGAGCGCTGATTGGATGTGCGATGTTGTATACGCGGTTTGAAGCCAGCGCGGAAGGAGATCTTCAAGATCGTAGTTGCTGAGGCTGGATTTGGCTTTAGCTTTGAGAGGCATAGAGACCCGGGCGTAATATCGGGTAGCAGTTGAGTGTAAATGAGGACGGAGTAATGACAATTGACGCATACACTATGAAGGCGAGCTGGGTCGGCAACGTTGACTGTTCGATGATATAGTGGAATAATTTAGCATCTTCATCTATACAGAAGGGTTATAAACTTACGAAAGTTTGCTTTTCTTTATCCTCTGCTGTCAGAAAGTCCTTGAAGGATCTCCCAAAAAATGTTTGATTGCGCAAAGTCACGAATGCTCTGGAGACAGCAGTTTAGGTGGCCGTTCCAGATCAAACACTGACAGTAGACCTTCACTGACTGAGCGCTAATACATTTCACTACCATCTGACATACTACAGTTATCATGTATACTGTATAACAATTCTCACAGGCAGACTGAGGCTACATTGTCATCAACCATGGGTTCGTCCGTTTTCTGCACCTTTTTCACTGATTTTTGTTTGCTCGGTTTAACGGTCATTGCGAGGATAGCTTCCAATATCACAATCAGCGAGCCGTCCTCTTCAATGTATATGCTACCGCTGTTAAGCGGGTTGATCATTCAGTAATCGGAAGCCAAGAGGGGAATTGGCTGAAACAGCTCACCTTGAGCTCAATATTCCGCTGTCCAGGGATGCGTAAATCCCGTGGGTCTGTCCTTTGACTACTTGAACCCGGGAATAATTCGGTCCTGAGACCAGGTATTCACCAGGTTTAGTCGACAACTCAATTTCAACCTCATCCTTGTCCTTCAATTGCGAGTCTCCCAAGCCCCCTCTCACTGCAGTGGCCGCACTCGAGCGAGTGGAAGGTAGAAAGGTGATAGTTGCCTGTACCGGTGTTGATTCGCTTTGGTCTGTCAATGACAAACCGATTTGCCAGGTATCCGCCGCAGGTTCTGTGTTCCTGCGAGTCCGACGCCAGAGTGAAAAAGATTTTTTCTTTTTCGAAGTTTGTGGATTGTAAATGGCCTTCCGGAAAGTCAAGCACCACATCCGACCTTTTGCGTGGTATTAACACTTAGAATTGAATCTTTGAGTAAGATAGGAGGAACGCACCTTGGGCAATGAACTCCAGATTTACTTTATTCAACCCTCTTATCCTCATCTGGAACATTGGAATAGTCAAAATGGCAGTGAAAGCTGGTTGGTGACGGTTGCTGCTCGATACTCGCGAAGGGTTTGTTATCCTTGGTTGCACTACCACTGTATCCTGTAAACCTGTGCTCCCCAGGTAGATTGCCTTTGCTGATCCCGCAGATTTTCTGTATAATTCTGTATTGCGGACAGATTCAAACAGAGGTTGGTCGTCCTTTATCATACAAGCGCGGCGTATATCAGCTATTTGAAGAAAATCACCTTCTTCATACGCCGCATATTCCATAATGAGAGACAATATTCTTAATGACGCTTCGTCATTGACGTCGGTCTGGAGTACTTTCTGGGAAAGTAAACTCTGGCCACCATGGTCATCCAAGCTAGATTTCCGTTGAATCAGGATCGACAAACTGACACCAGATTTCATAGCTACGGATGCGCATTCTTTCAGGATGGAAGAAGCTTGTTCCGGAGACATGACTTCGTCGACCAAGTATTGAATTCTGTTTTGGATGGTAGTGAAGGGTTCCCCATACGGATGATCAATCATCAGGTGGATCCCAGTGTTGTAGGATCTGGATACGTAGAGCATCAATGAAGGCTGGGGTCTGCTGGGGTCTTGTGAAGGTCAGGCTAGATCCGAAGGTGAAGTTTAAATAGGCTGAGGCTGCAACTATAACGTTATGTTCGGGTCAAAATCGATAAGAGTAATTGAGAACACCTTGTTCTAAAGTCAGCTGCGCAGCTAGAAGGACTCGAAGGAGCCTAAGGTTCAATAGATTTACGTCTCCCAGCTCGTGATTCGAAGAATCTTCCCTACCTGAAAGAGAAATCTTTAGCATACAGCGCCTGTGGTGGATAGCAAATCAGTTTGACTTTGACAAAACCCTGCGAATCGGCACCGGTACAGGCATTGTTGAAATCCGTGCGATGAGACTGATCGTGATAGCATATTATGTATGTGCGATATGAAGAGGACTGAAGAGGGCTAAGGAGAGTGTGAAAGATTAAATACTCTTTCGACCGAGTTCGACCGCTACCACCATACACATGTTTTACTGCGACAGTCTGCTGCATTATTTCGATATTATTTTCTTATTCGCCTGATGGTATAAGCTCAGCTGAAGTTAACAATGATCAGCGTCGGTTGGCGCTGGGCCGAGGTCAAAAAAATCCTTAGTGCCGTGCTGGCACGGCAATCCCCGACTCTGAACGATTTCTGATGTATAAGGTAAACTAAAACTGGGAAAGGGCCTCGTTCCGAGGCACTGACCTTGGCTGGATTGCCTGACTTGCCAATAGGATACAAAGATATGGATAGTGAGCTTATGTACAATTTCTTATGATATGCACACTTGCAGCAAGTAGATGTTTCAATAGCACAAAAGTAATGCAAAAAACAGATTATAAACAAACTCCATTCTTACAGTAACATTTGGATGAGGTGGTTAGACATTGAGAAGGATGAGATAATTGGAGCAATGAGCAGATGGGGGCAAGTCAGGTTGAGAACTTGAATACACACCACAAAGTCCACCATAACTTGCAGCACTATTAGTCGCAAATTCTAACAATGCTCACTTTTCACTACTACAGCATGTTTCAGCTGCCAAATTCCAATGATGACAATGCATGTAAAGTAAGTTTCCACAAGTATGGCTGACACCCCGGAGTGGAACAGAACTGCATAAAAATGCAATGGTTCACTGTAATTGTCAGCAACTGGTTCTAGTAACAGGTGTCACCAGGTGTCACTTAAGAAAACCTCAGGTGGCGGAGCAATAAAGGAAGTAAGCAAAGTTCTGGGCTAAAGCAGGTAGAATAGACAAGATCAAAGCTAAGGAAATACAACAAGTAACTACAGCTTATATACAAGTAAGTACCATTGAACACTGGAAAATTTTCACTCGCAACCAGATTTATCCTGCTGTCAGGCTTGTTGGATGGAATTTTTCTCTCAGTTTGACTGCAGGATTGTCTACGTTGCAGGTGACAAAAACTCTGTTGCTGATGCTCTATATTGCTGCTGCGATGACCCGTTGACATGCCTAAATTTTGGCTAGACATCTATGCTGTGAATTGTGACATTTTCACGCATAGATTCGTATCAAGAGGACTGTAATTGAGACCCAGATTGACAGTCAAAGTTAATACTGAATCAGTCTAATAAGTTGAAGGGACCATATACCCATACTACTGTTGAATGAGCTCTCAGTTGATAGGTGTCACGAAGCGGCAGAGGCGGAGTGACTAGCGGAGCAGGGAAGCGGAGTGACTAAGCAAGGCGATGAGGCGGAGTGACTGAGCAAGGCGGTGAGGCGGAGCGACTAAGCAGAGCGGAGGCAAACTGGTCCCAGATAATGACAGAGATATATTGAGTATCGTAGTCATAGGTAACAATAAGTAAGCACATACCTGGTCCCAGATAATGACAGAGAGGTCAAGATGAGGGACCAGGCTGTGAGGGGTTGGCTTTATATACATAATCCGATCTGCGAGAAATGACGATGTAATACTGTACAGTTTAGGAACAAGGAAGGTGGCGGAAGCCAGTAGAAGGAGAAGGGTAACAGGTGGATCAGTAATTGATGATGGGGATCAGGTGGGTCAGTAATCGATGGGATTTGACAGTGATGTAATCGTACAAGTAAGGGCGTCGAGACGGTGAGAAAAGGAAAATGATAGGGGTTACATACTTCATGACATTACCCCCCTTCTTATGACCATTGCCCTCGATGGTCAAGCTTTTGCTGCTGTGGGGTGCTTCTTGTGGAAGGCACGAACAATTTTTGGAGCCCGGCTCAGGTTGGGCGCTGGTTCCCAGGAGTTATGCCCTGCGTCGTATCCCTTCCACTTTACCAGGTATTCCAACCTCTTGTTAAGATCATGTACACCGTGTAACCGTGCCAAAGCTACAAGGTGCCTAAGTGCGGAAGACGAGTGGGACAGTAGTGAAGTTATTAACAACACCGCCGTTACGCCGTTAGTCCCCGGAGAGCGAGAGTAGAGAGAGAGGAGCTAAGTAGCAGCCAGGTCGGAGCGGCGGTATCGCCGATGACGAGGAGCGGACCAGAGGACGTTAAAGTCCTAAGGTCAAGGAGGACGTACTTCAAGGCGTTGAGCCAGAAGACTTAGAGAAGAGCTCAGTTGAGAAGGGAGATCTAAGTTGATCTAAGTTGATAATTAAACTGAGGAACTACAGTAGCGTACAGGCAGTATTTATATCTACGGAACGGCGCATCGGTGCGGAGCGCTAGACTAACTACTAGGAGCTATACGAGTAGTACCTGCAGGGTAGAGTAAAAGACAATAAGGAGAGACTAGCACGAAAGAGTAAAAGACAATAATGAGAGACTAGAACGAAAGGATATGTGTAGCGGGAAAGAACAATAGGAAGAGATTACAATAAGAGCAGATCTTCGGAATACCGAGCGGCGGAATGGAGGCCCGTGGCATGGACTTGACAGTATCCCCCTCTTAGGCTTGAGCCCTCGAAAGCCATTAATACCGGTAGTTGGTTAGTCACCAAGGAAAAATTTTAAAGGCCGTCAGGATCGGGGATTTGGCCTATCAGTCAGCAGGAAAATTTTCGAAAGCCGTTAGTACCGGGAAATGGCGTTAGTCATCAGTGAAAATTTTCGGTTCACCGTACACCAAGTACAATTCGAAGGAAAATTTTCGCTGGTCCGTGCGCAGTTTTGCCGTATAAAAGGCCCAGAGTTTCGCCGGTAGGACCCAAGTTCCCAAAACTTCTAAGTCCAAAAAATGTCCGCTAGCCGTACCACCACTACCACCCTCACTTCCGCTACTACCGCTGGGCCTTCGAGGTCCCGAACAACAATTCCACCACCCGCCGACCCTGTCGACAACGACGAGGAGGAGTTGGAAGAAGACGACGATGAGGCTATCCGGCGGGCGGAGGAGAAGGTCCGCAGGATGAAGGCAAGGAAAGCGGCGGCGGCGGCGAGGAAGAAGGCCGAGGAAGAGGCAGCTAGGAAAGCTGCTGAGGAAGCGCAGAGGCAGAAGGAGGCGGCAGCTCGGGAGTTGGAGGAGCGCCGGAGGGTAATGGCGGCGGCGGCCACCGCTCGAAGTCAGCGGGGTTCCTCTCCAGGAGGAAGTTCGGTTTCCCTACGACGACCAGTGGTGGAAATTCGAAGGGAAAAGGGGAAAGGCAAAGCCAAGGCCCAGGTGAGTAATCGTAAGTTTTCGACAGTAACCTTAACTAACATTCCTGGTCTTGTTTGTAGCCTGTTGGCGGGGACCCCGACGACGGCGGTGACGGCGACGACGACGACGACGACGAAGATGAAAGAGTTCCCTGCGAACGATGCAGGAACAAGAAGATCCCTTGCCAGATGCAGGCTGGCAAGAGGAGTTCAATTATTTGTAAACCCTGTCACGACGCAAAGGTCAGATGCTCGTACTCCGGGCGTCCTTCGACGGTGAAGCGAGAGGGGGGAGGACAACCGATCGGCGAGCGCCTGGCGATCTTGGAGAGCCAAATGGCTCAACTGCTGGCAGACAACCGGCAGCTTCGAGAGGGCCAGTTGAAGGACAACACCTACAACCGCCATATCAACCGCAAATTGGACTGGTTGATGACGGACGCCGCGAGAAGGAGGAAAACGCCACCGGAGATGCCGGAACCAGGGCCTTCGCGGCTGCCGAAGAAGAGGCGAAGGGCCGTGGATAGTGAGGAGGAGGAAGAGGATAGGAGGATGGAAGAAGAAGAGGATGGAGAAGGAGAGGAGGAGGTAGAGGAGGAGGGAGAACCGGCGCCGAAGAAGGCCCGGTCGGAGAAAGGGAAGGAGAGGGCGGAGTAGAGTAACATCGGACATCGGACATCGGCCTTCGGCCTCTTCTTGTATACTTCTTGTCGCCCTGCCCTCGTTGTACAATTTTCTTTGTTGTTTGGTCTTTGTATATATAAAAAATGTTAACTCGATTTGAGATCGGAAAGCGAATGGGCCGCGAAGCGGCGTAAGAAATAATTAGTTCGAAGTGTAAATAGTATAAGTATGAATGAAATATAAGTGCAAATAGTTCGAAGAAGAATGTAAGTAATTAAGAAAAAGGAGATAAACACTCAATTTGCTATCATCGTGTTTATCCTCTAAACGCACAAAGTAGACTTCGGCGGAGCGCGGTGAAAAAGGGAAATGGAATAAAATGATTTTTTGTGATCAAGGTCCAGGTTTGTGAGGGTATCGGGCGTGGAACGCCGGTACAAGTTCGTCAGCATGTAATTCATCAGCAGCAACCCAAGAGAACTCATCGTCGGTACCTTCATAACCGGCCCACCGAATGTAATAACGTAGAGGACAACGTTTATACCTTCTGTCCAGCTTGGAGTCGAGGATTTCGGCAACGTTGTACTCCTCTTCCCCATCAACTTCAATTGGAGGTGGAGGAGATTGAGTACGATTCGGGAAAGGATTCGGCGTAACCGGCTCCAGCTGTGAGACGTGGAAAACCGGATGAATGCGGCGAAGATAGTCTGGGAGCTTGAGCTCGTAAGACAAAGTACCAGGTCGACTGATGACCTTGAAAGGACCAAGATATTTTTCTGAGAATTTTTCAGTAGGACGAGTAGAACGAATGTGCTTAGCAAGAACGAATACTTCGGAGCCGATCGGGAACTCCGGGTGCGAGATTCTTTTCCTGTCAGCTTGTTCCTTGTAACGAGACTGAGCTAAAAGGATTTCCTCTCAAAGGAAGACGTGGAGTTCATCGA